CCCATCAGGGATCTCCTAGTGAAGAATTCGGGGCCCCCCGCTCCTGGCACCCGGGGAGCATCTCAAGGGAACCCACGGTTCTCTCTGTCTTGTCCCAGGAGGGGAGCGGAGCGGCCCGGGCTGGAGAGGGAGCCTGGGCCCGAGGGCCTGTCCGTCAGGGCCTCCCAGAAACTCACCCCCGAGCCGCTGGAGCGGCCCGGGCTGGAGAGGGAGCGCCGGGGAAGCCGCCAGGGCCTCCCAGAAACTCACCCCCGAGCCGAAGGGAGGAGGGTCTGGGGCCTGGAGACCCCCCGGAAGGAGGCTGCTCGGAGCCTGTCTGCCTGGGGGGCTCTTCCCCTGAACTGGCCCAGAGTGTGGGGGACAGGGGATGGGCTGCCCACAGGGATTTCGGCCGGAGCCCTGGCCTGCAGGGGTGGGCTGTCCCTGCAGGGGTGCTGACCAGGGGCCGGTGGGGGGGTTAAGGAGACACTTGTCCACATGGGGGTTTCTTTGTGGCTTTTGAAGCTTCCCCAGATCCCATCTGACCCGACCCCAAGCCCCGCTGCTGCCCGGGGAGATGGGGGGGGGAACCCTAACCCCGTAGCGCCATTTGCCAGGCGTGTCTCCTGCTGCTGGGACAGCGGGGACTTTTACCTTCAGCCTCGGGCCTCCCTTCTCCCACCTCCAATGGCAGACCCGTCCCTCTCCCTGGGCAGATGGGGGTGGGGCTGCAGACGGGGGGTGCCCGTCTCCCTGTCCCTCACAGGGCACAGGGATTTGAGGCCTCCTGGGGGGCAGGCTTGGGCTAGGCCCCCACTCCCCCAGGCCCAGGGGGGCCCCTCCCAGACCCCAGACCATGCCCAGACATCCCGTGTGGGGTCGTGTTTTCGGGACCGAGGCTGGGGCGGAGGCTGGTAAGAGGCAGTTGTGCCTTAGCTTGCTCGGCAGCGAACCACTAATTAAACTTCAAATGAACCAATTTTGGCTTCTTTACCGCGAATCTTGGCTCGAAGTGGAGCTTGAACCAGAATTTCCGCCGGCCTGTCGCAACGCATGCAGCAACGCGGGCGTTCCAGGGGCTCACACGGCAAACGCCGCTGTCCTGGCTCGGCTTATTGGCGGAGAATTTTTTAAAAACACACACACACACACACACACACACGCACACAATTCTCTCCGCACCCACAAAACTGTGAATCCCCACCCGCAGTCGTCCTAACTGTGCAACCTGGGAGCCACTCCTGGGCTGGGGCACGACACCCAGGAGGTGTGTGATGGCCTCGTGCAGCCTTATCTGTAGGTACATCACACGCACATACACACACGCATGCACATGCACACACACACATGCACATACACACACATGCACACGCACACATGGCATGTTCAGGAGCCACGCTCCAAGGAGCCCTGGAGCCGCTGGGCAGTGGGCAGTGGGCAGTGACTCTGCCGCGGGGTTTGCCGTGCCCAGAGCTGGGCGGGGTCACCGCGGGGAGGTGCAGCGTTTGAAACGCGGGGAGAGCGCTGGGCTGGGAAGGAGGGAGACGGTGCAGGTGGGGTGGGTGTGCCGCTCGGGGAGCTGGGGGTGAGGGTGAGTCACCCGGGCAGAGGCTCGCCTGTCCCCACGGGAGGACGAATCCATGTGCCCTAGCGAGGCAGCCGCCGCGCCCTGCAAGCTTCTGCAGGCGAGAAGGCCTGGCGGCTCCCAGGGTGCAGGGGCGGGGCCTCCCCAGGGGCCGGTTTCCGATTGGCTGGGGCCAGGTGCAGGGTGTGGGCAGAGCAGCTGATGCCCTAGGGAGGCACCGCCCCCTGAGACACTTGCTGTTGGACCTGGGGTTCTGGGGGGTAGAGGGGGGGACAGAGGTCCCCTGGGGACGGTGCACAGGCCGGGGGGCAGCCAGGTTCCCCGAGGAGCGCCAACCTTTGCCAGGGGCGTGTCCACCCATCTGGAGAGACAGTGGGATGGGGAGGGTCACCTGGAAGGTGGGGTGACTCCCTGGCCACCCCTGGACCAGGAACCCCCCTCAAGGAGGTGACCTGGGCTCTAGAACTGCGCTCGGCTGCTCTCTCTCTTCCTGGTTTCCCTGACCAGCCAGCAGGGGGCCTGGGGGCCTTCCCTGGGAGGGCTGGGCAGGGGCACCACCCTCGCCATGCCCCGCACAGAGAAGACAGTCGGCCCCGGGTGACGGGATCGGGGTGAGGTCATCAAGGAGGGCTTCATGGAGGTGGTGAGCTCTAGAGAAGCTGGGGACCAGGCGGAGGGGTGAGAGCGGTCGCACCTGCCCCCTTAGTCTCATGGAGAAGCCCCATGTCCTGGCTGTTGAACGTGACTTCGAGGCTAATACTTACCAGCCAGACCCCCCACCCCCCACCTCCCAGGCTCAGGAAGGGGAAAAGTCGCTTTCCCTTGTGCCAGCAGCTCTCGTGCGAACAGAGCTCGCCTCCCGCCTGCGCCCTCTGACCCCAAGGCTCACCGCCAGGCGTGAGCCCAGGTGCGCACGGCTCTGGCCTCCTCCCTCCCTCACAGCCTTGGGCCGGGGTGATGGCAGCCCCGTTCCCGCAGGGAAGCCGAACCAAGCATCTTACGGCGGGAGTCAGGTGTCTACCCCCAAATCCATTTTTTTAAATATATTTTTATTGATTTCAGAGAGGAAGGGAGAGAGAAACACCAGTGATGAGAGAGAATCATGGATCGGCCGCCTCCTGCACGCCCCCTACTGGTTGGGGATGGAGCCCGCAACCCGGGCACGTGCCCTGACCCCGAATCGAACCGTGACCTCTTGGTTCCTAGGTTGACCCTAAAAGGCAGAGCCACGCCAGCTGGCCTGACCCCCAAATTCAGGAGCCCTGGGCCTTGGCCCGACCGGAAGTGAGAGTTACATGCCCACCCCTGTCACCCCTGGACAGGGGGACTGGCATTCCAGGGGTGGCCTCGTCCCCCCCACTCGCACCCCCGCCTCCACGGCAGAGAATGCCCACCAGCGGCAGGAGGAGAACGCGAGAGGCAGGCGGCCGGCGCCGCTGCGAGGGAGGGATGCTCCCCGATGACCGAGGGGGGGTGACCTCACCGCTGACAGGTCCGTCTGGAGACGGGTGGAGGCCGTGGGAGCCTGCGCTCCCCGCGGGAGGCCTCCTGGGGCCCCGGGACTGTCTGTCACCACCCAGAGTTTCCATCCGGGAGCCGCTGGCTGACCCACGCCTGCCCTTTGGCGAGAACTCTCTGTGCGTAGGCAACAGCCAGGTGCACGGGGCCTGCCAAGCCAGGGAGGGAGTCAGGTGCACGGACGGAGGGAGGCGATGGGCAGGGCTGTGCTCCTGG